GGTGGAACCGTTCTCGGCATTAACGTTTCGGGTGGAACCGTTCTCGGCATTAACGCGTTGGGTGGAACCGTTCTCGGCGTTAATGCATTGGGTGGAACCGTTCTCGGCATTAACGTATCGGTGGAACCGTTCTCGGCATTAACGTATCGGTGGAACCGTTCTTGGCATTAACGCCTTGGGTGGAACCGTTCTCTGCATTAACGTGTCGGTGGAACCATTCTCGGCATTAACGCGTTGAGTGGAACCGTTCTCGGCATTAACTCGTCGGGTGGAACCGTTCTCGGCGATAACGTGTCGGGTGGAACCGTTCTCGGTGTTAACATTTCGGGTGGAACCGTTCTCGGCATTAATGCGTTGGGTGAAACCATTCTCGGCGTTAACGCGTTGGGTGGAACTGTTCTCGGCATTAATGCGTTGTGTGGAACCGTTCTCGGCAGTAACGCGTTGGTTGGAACCGTTCTCGGCAGTAACGCGTTGGGTGGAAACATTCTCGGCATTAACGTGTCGGTGGAACCGTTCTCGGCGTTAACGCGTCGGGGGGAACCGTTCTCGGCATTAACGCGTTGGGTGGAACCGTTCTCGGCATTAACACGTTGGGTGGAACCGTTGTCGGCATTAACGCGTTGGGTGGAACCGTTCTTGGCATTAACGCGTTGGGTGGAACCGTTCTCGGCATTAACGCGTTGGGTGGAACCCCGGGGTTCCACTTCTACATATCTGAACCCACACAGTCTGACCTGTTGCTCTGTCCGTTTTCTGCCCTGTAGGATGAGTTCCATCCGTTCATCGAGGCTCTGCTGCCCCAGGTCCGTGCCTTTGCTTACACATGGTTCAACCTCCAGGCCAGGAAGAGGAAGTACTTCAAAAAGCATGAGAAGAGGATGACGAAAGAGGAAGAGAGAGCTGTTAAAGACGAATTACTGGGAGAAAAAGCAGAGGTGGACAGACCAGCATACCAGTGAAATGCTTTAAATGATGCTGCAGGTTGTTGAGAACTAAAAGTGCTTATTTCTGTGTCCGGTTTCATTCTGCTTGCAGGTGAAACAGAAGTGGGCCAGTCGTCTTTTGGCCAAACTAAGAAAAGACATCAGACCTGAATGCAGAGAGGACTTTGTCCTGTCCATCACTGGGAAGAAGGCTGCGTGCTGCGTCCTGTCCAATCCGGACCAGAAGGGCAAAATGAGGCGAATAGACTGCCTGCGACAAGCTGACAAGGTCAAACATTGCTGTTCCAGTTAAACATGGAGTAAAAGGGAATCTTTTGCTGCGTTACTTGATTGTATTTAATGGATTTTTGACCTTTTCAATCAGCAAAGTGCAGAAAACATGCAGCCAAACGACTCTTTAGACACACATTGGCAGATCTGGACAGGAGAGGTCCATAAATGACTGCAGCAGAATGAAGGCAGTGAAATGTTAGAGCTGTTTACTGGCTGCTTACTGGCTGCTTACTGGCTGTTTACTGGCTGCTTACTGGCTGTTTACTGGCTGCTTACTGGCTGTTTACTGGCTGCTTACTGGCTGCTTACTGGCTGCTTACTGGCTGTTTACTGGCTGCTTACTGGCTGCTTACTGGCTGCTTACTGGCTGTTTACTGGCTGTTTACTGGCTGTTTACTGGCTGCTTACTGGTCAGAGCTTTTCTCTGACCAGAGGAGCAGTTTGGTGCAGAGACTGAAGGGACAGGCAGGAGAAACTTTTCCTGCTTCCATGTTGAAAAAGGTTCCTTTTCATGGCAGTCGGGGCCGGAAGAGCTGAGGGCCCCCCCAGCATGAGGAGGATGGGGCCCATGTTAAATTCTGTAAATCATCCAATTATTCATTCGTGGTAATTTATTATCATTTTTCTGCAATAATTAACTATCGGTGGTGAAACCAGGATGACATTTATCTGACCTCACTATTAACACCTGTCTGCTGGATCAGCCAATGAGCAGCATCTCTGCTGCCTTCATCTCCTCGCTTTACGAGTTCTGAGGAGAACTTTATTGGTAAGGAGAGACGATCAGGAGGATCACTGCATGAATCCTGATCGATGGCAGGAATCTGCTGGCAGCTGCTCCTCACACACAGAACAGTCCTTCGTTTCATTAGATCACAATGGAGTTAATCCAGCCTCCCTCTGTGTTCTCAGGTCAGGGTTAGAGATGAGAGCCTCCTCACCGCTGCCTCTAAACGAAAGGTTCACCAGAGGAGCTGCTGCTGTGCTCAGCTGGCTTTGACTGGACCACTGATTGTTTCTATCTGGTATCTGGGAGTGATTGCTTCCAGCAGGGTTAGGCTTCACTGAGCCTTCAGCGGAGAGATTGCTGCTGTCAGTAACCGTTAGATACATCTTAATATGTTATTAGAAACTGTATTTAGGGTTATGACCTGCATGGGATCATGGACCTCATTCCTTTGCAGGGGACTTTTTCAAACGTCCGTTTCGCTCTCCTGCTAGTTTTACCGTCCAAAAACAATGCTAAGCTACCGGACACAGACATTCGTCGAGCACTAGGACCATGCTGAAATCCACAGGTCAAACTGAAGCTTCCCTGAGTTCAGACCCGCCCACAAGCTCCTGATTGGCCCATCATTTGTTCTTGTGTGATTAGCTGTCACCGATGTTACTCTTGAGAAGCT